AGAACTCTACTTACTTTGCACGACTAGTTAGAGAAAACTGGTTAATGTTTTTGTTGGAGATATCAATGGTGAACTTCTTTCCCTTAGCAAGGTTGTCAATGACACCAACTTTAATTCCGGCTTCAATATCATAGTCAGGAATTTCAATGCTGGTCGTGAGAATATTCTTGTTCCTGTTGTACTTAATAGTGGCAGTTGCCTCTGTGGCCTTAGCACCTTATGGTAAGAAAAGAGGGGAAAAATGATCCCTAAACCTACACAATCAAACACTGTAGGAATGTGGTTATATTATAACAGAGTGGTCATGATTTCAAATTCACTGTTGTTAAGTATACATGCCTTCTGCTTTCAAAATAATTTTCAGAGAATCAACCTTCTGGCGGCCTTCCTTGCCCTCGTTCAAGAGTTCGTAGGCAAAGGCTGCAGTGTACTCAGTGATGTCACCAGTGGGTTGGATACCCAAAACAAAACTGTGGGCACATATTGATTTTAGCATAATACGTAGAACATTTATTTTGTGCATTTTTTTTTTTAAGTTTGATTGTTACCTGGACTCTGCATTGAGAGGAAAGTATGGAGAATTTCTCTCAGCTCTAGAGTTGAGTATGGTGGTGCAGTAATTGATTCCAGAAATAAGGGGGCTGCAGTTCACAATGGCAGTTCTGTCACCTGTCTCAGGAACAAGTGTGACCGGTGTTTTGGACACCATCACTAACTTGTTGCTGTTTGTGAAAAATGACAAAAGGTTTCCCATTATGTCACTATTAAACAGCTGACTGGACCAGATTTGTTGAAAGCTGATGCAATTTATCTCTGTACATTTTATTTAACTGTATAAAGAGTATACATTTAAAATAAACCACTTCAGACATATAGCACAAATGCTACCTGACTCTGAAGAGTTCGGTAGTGCTCTTGGGTGGCAGGATAGACAGCTTTATTTGGCCATCACCCATAGTGATCTTGGCATTGAAAGAGCTCTCATGGAACACATTAGTGTGCATTTCCACGGCAGAGACAACAAATTTGGGGATGTGGACTCCCATACGGGTAACAAATTCTACTGCCATGGAGGGTGAAAAAGACAGTTCACCCTGTGAAAAGAAATAGGAATACATTAGTAATGCAAATAAACATGACAATAAAAAGATGAAATTTAAATAATTTGTTACAGGGTACAACAGGGCTAAAGGCCCACCTTAAAAAAAAAGCTCATTAATGGAGCAACACATTTTGTGTGAAAATAAATCATTCAAGTTGTTTATTTTGTTTAAAAATCTTATAAATGTATGAGGTGGCAAGGGGGGCCTTTTACCCCACACGGGGCAAAAGGCTCACCAGCATGGGGTAAAAGGCACATGGTATTGAATACAAATACTTCAGCTAAAATAATGTTTTTTAAATAATGTCTAAGTTAATACTTGTTCAAAACAATCACTTTAGCAAAGTTTGTACTATTTTCTGCTTATTTTGAAAAATAAAAGAATACATTTTTGTTCAATAAATATACTGTCATTAAAATATGTTAATATAAACAAATATATTTTAAAATACAGAAACAAATTTGCACTGCTGCGTGCGATCGCGTCAAAGATCAGACAAATATACGCGTGCATCTTGAAAAGCGAATGTTTCGGAAAGTGCTACGCCACATTTTTGTGCCATCTAGTGGTTTAGATGAAAATAATATCAAAGGCGCCTTTTACCCCCGGTTGTACCCTAAATTTTTCTACATAAACCATCTGGAGACTGAACAAAAAGCAATCAAGGGCAATATTCAATACCCTGCCAGGCTCCATACGCAGACCACCCTCAACACCAGGTGCAAAGGTCCCAGACAAAGCAAACTTAAGGGGAAATCCAGAGGCAGTTGGAAGGGAGAACTCATTATCCATAAAGATGTAGTGAGCAAAGATGCTCTGATCTCCAGACATCAAGGCTTTTGTAATCTATTGAAACAGGAATATGTAGAATTTTTGCATATATATATATAGTGCCTCAAAAAAAAAAAACTATATATATCTATATATATATATATATATTAACCCAGTGTTGTCCGATTTATGAGAGAGCTAATATAGATATATTTTATGCATGTAAAATGCAGCATATTGTATATACATACCCAAGCAGGTGAGTACTTGAAGGCCTGAATATACGTGGCCATCCTGTCAACTATGGCTGACAGGTCATTGGTGCTCTTAATGTATCCCAACTCATTCCCCATGATTCTTAAGTAAGCTATAGCCTCTGGAGAGTCCTGGTTGTATAGATCCTTTGCAAGCTTATTGAAGTTCCGCACCATTTCCCTTATAATGTTCTCAGGAACCTGTCAAAGAGAAGATTCTGATATTATCTAACCTTGGATACATGCATGAAAAATTAAATCCTATAAATAATCACATTATGTTTGGAATACATTACCTGTCTTTTAGTTTTTTCTGTTCTCAGGGGTTCAACCCACTCTTGAAGAACTTCATTGATCTTGTTTGGCATTTTGTCCCCAAACCAGTACATTGCTTTGGAAATCGAATCAGGGAAGAAGCCATTGCTTCCAAAGAGAGTCTCAACAGTTGGCTCAAATCCTTTGCCCTCCATGCCAATCTTGGTGACCACAAAATAAATAAATAAATAAATTCCAAAAGTCATAGTCAAACCAAATGCAACAAGTCCATAAAAATCAAGGATAAGTACAAACAAAAAGTAATAATTGAATCATATAACAATTGAGTTTTACAGCTAATTAAATACAAGTACATGACACATGAAAAATCCTACCTCCATGAAGTCAAGGTTGTAACCGAAGGCTTTCAGGGTTGTCTCAAGCATAACCTCCCTCGGCAAGTGGCTGCTGGGATCAAAGATGATGCTTCCCTGCATATTGGAGCCCATGACATCCTTGCCTGGCATAAATACATCCATCTTATAGTTACGAGAGAGCTGAGTGTAGTTTGAGTGGGTAAGCACCTCATCATCCTGCATGACCTTAACTATCGTTTTGCCCAACCTGGGAAGAAAAAACGTTATAGTGTTGAGAATAAAGAGCAAAATAAATGATAGACAGCAGTTGATGTGTTTTGCATCCAGTCTAGAGAAAATTGACAAACTGAGTTACATACTCTTTCATTTCAGGATTCCTGGAATGAATAATGTTGTAGACATGAGAAGCCACGAAGGACTTGACTTGCACATTCTGGTCCTGGGTAAGGATCTTCCTCACAACCTCCAGGTCACTTGCTTCTGGCTTTTTCATCAAGATAAGATATGCAGCCAATCTCTTCTGAACAGCACCTTTGGCATAAAGGGCCACTCTATGAATGCTGGAACGGATCTGAACATTTAAAAAAAAAAAGAGAGAGAGAGTTTGGAGTGTGAAGTTAGTTTTCTTATTTGGATAATTCCATGCATAAGACACACATTTGATTCTGAAAAAAATATAAATTGTTCAACAAATCCTGCAACACTTACATCAGGAGTCACAGACATTCGTCTGAAAGCCTGGATAGCAGACATCTGGACTGACAGGGTGGTAGCAGGCTGTCTCATACACTTAAGCAGAGTTGTCTTTATGTTGGGATCAGCTGCTTCTATAGCCTCGCCCATGTTTCCAATCACCTAACCAGGGCAGATTATAATAAAATAAGTTGGTTTTCCAGTGTGAAAATGTCCAGAAATATAGATGTTAAAACACACACCCTTAAGGTCAAGTAGGTCAGATCTTTCTCGCCAGCACAGTCAGCACCAAGGATGGAGTTAATGAAGTTAGACACCTCAAGAATCTCAGAGGTGAGCTGACCCTCAGCTTGGAAGTGCCTGAAGAAATATATTATATAAATGCTCAGCTACAGTGGAGATATACTGACAAATACTTCAGCTAAATGAAGATAGCATAGCTGATCACAAGCATATGTTGTACTTTGGATTACAGTGTGCTGATGTTTTACAAAGCACGATTACTTTGGTGGACCAGCTTCACTACAAAGATCATGACAGTCTTCACCAACCATTTTTTGCATCTGACACCATGGTGATGCTGGCAGCACTCAATTAATATGAACGAGCCTGGACAAGCTTGAAAATTCATGCTGGTCTATTCTGGTCTTTCCAGTAGGGAAATGAAAGGACTTAAGCAGTCTAGAAATGGAAAAGAATTTGCGTACCTCCTTACAACATTGCTGAGAGCATACATTATTGGCTTGCTCTTCTTGGTCTGCGCAATCTCCAGTATGTCTTTCACCAAGAGGCCAGTAGGTCTGAGCATCATTCCTAGAGCATAGATAGCATAAAAAAAAATAAAAAATAAATAAATTATAATATGTTTTTATTATCTCATAAATAATCATAACAACAATTATAATACATTATAAAACTTACTTATTTGTGGTTATAACTTTTATGAAATATGATTAATTATAACATGCAATGAACACCATGTTAAATCCACTTAATTTATAATGGATTATAAGTCTCATATCTTGACATTATTTATTTAAGATCTGCACAGAATCTTACTATCTTACTGATATTACTTTAAATATGGTTAAAAGCAAATGTGCCATATAACACATTCATCTGATCAAATATCTGACGTTATGGCTGTTTAAGAAAAAATATTGTTTTTATTTATTATTGTTGTTGTTGTCATTGTTGTTGTTATTATTTATAAGTGGTCTT